TAGGAAGTCTAGGTTTATCCTCAGTTCATTTTCTCAGTTACTCTATCTTGTTTCCGTACATGGGCTGATATGATCAGCTGTTTCTTGGGCATCTTCAATAATTAGGTGTGATATCAATAATTAGGTGAATTATGTTGATGTATTATTATGCTTAATGATTGCCTACATGTAGATGTGATCAGGATATGGGCTTACCTTTTCACTTTTATTATTAAATCAGAGTAACTGTAGCAGGTGTTGGCTGTCTCTCGTGTTTAGCAGCTGATATTGGCTTTTGCCTGGATGGTGGGATTTTATAGCGTGTGATGGTAGCTTGGCTATATGACCCCAATTGCTGTCTCTTCTTGGGTAACGTAGGGAGAGAAAGAGTTCCCTGAAGATATAAGGTGGACCAACACCAAAACAGCTACAGAAAAAAAAAAAAAAAAATTAAATACTATAGTCTATAATCACAGGGGGAAAAAAGTCTGTAGCAAAATCTGAGTATGACTTTTAACAGCTCTCTCTTGGCTTCTTGTCTTCAAGACTGAGAAATTTCAAGATGTTACTGTTACTCCTTATGATCTAACCTAGGATTTAATTTGTATCCTGTTTCCTTTTTAATCTGTATCTCTTCCACTCAACAACCCTGTTCAGGACTTTTTCATAGTGATAAATAGATGAGGGCCGCATAGCTGTTTTGGGAGACTATTTGGTTTTAATCAGTGTCTTCTCCCTTCTTAGTGGTTTTTCTGAGCAGTTCCATATTCAGGGGTGTGGCAGTGTTGACCCTTCAGGCACCCCCTCTGGTCATCACAGTGGAGGTGCACAGACAGTGAGAGATCAATGAACAGAAAATAAAAAAGAATGTCCACACCTTTATCTCCAAGGATCAGTCAGATGACATCTGCAGTGGGAGTGCTCCTCTGATCCTTCACCCTGTCCATCACGCCCAAAATGGCTACTGCAGGAGCTGCAGGTCATAAAACATCACTGTTCTTGATTCTGCTACAAATTCCACTGGCTGTAAGCCTTCCAACTTCCTGAATATTCCTTTATATGTATTTCAGAGTTTTGGGACCATCCCCTGAACCTGCTTTGTCTGGCATTCTGTGTTATTGCTGGCAGATGTCTGCATGACACTTCCCCTATTCCACCATTAAGCTCCACCTCCATGTCTTTAATTTCTTGATGGTTGTTTCCATGAAGAAGCAAGAGGTTGTTGTTGGTGGTGGTGTTAGGTGTTATCTAGTCAGTTCTAAAAAATAGTGACACTATGCATAGTAAAACGAAACACTGTGTGGTCCTACATCATCCTTACAGTCCTTACACTTGAGGCCACTGTGCTGCCCATGATGTCCTTATCCATGGACTGGTCCCTCCTGATAGTGTGTATGAAGTATGAGAAATGACATCTCACAAACCTGGCTTATGATAAGAATTCTGGCTGTGCTTCTTCCAACATAGATTTGTTTTTTCTTATGGCAGTTGATGGTACTTTTAATATTGTTTTCCAACACCGTAACTCAAATGCATCAATTCTTCTATAGTCTTCCTTATTCACTAACTTTCACATGCATATGAGGCTATTGAAAATACCCTGGCTTGGATCCATCTTCATACTGACTTCTTTGTTCTTGGACAATTTAAAGAGGTCCTTTGCAGCAGATTTGCTTAATGCAATACATCATTTGATTTCTTGACAGCTGCTTCCACCAGTGTTAATAGTGGGTCCAAGTAAAATGAAGTCTTTGTCAATTTTAATCTTTTCTCCATATATCATGATGCTCTATTGGTCCAGTTGTGAGAATTTTTGTTTTCTTTACATTGAGATGCAATCCATTCCAAAGGCTATGGTCTTTGATCTTCATCAGTAAATATTTGAAGTCCTCTTTGCTTTCAGCAAGCAAGGATATAACAGGTTGTTAATGAGTCTTCTCTAATTATGATGCCATGTTCTTCATGTAATCCAACTTTTCATATAATTTGCTCATCATACAGATTGAATGTTAAGTGCTATCGAGTCGGTTCCTACCATAGCTACCCCGTACAGGATTTATTAGGACCAGCTGCTGTGTTTGAACCACCAACCTTGCAATTAAAACCGACCTTAAGGTCAAGTGCCTACCGTACTAAACCGACCTTAAGGTCAAGTGCTTATCTATGGCACCACACCAGGACTCCACAGATTAAATTAACCTGATGAAAGAATACAACCTTGTTACATACCTTTCCTGATTTTAAACCATTCATTGTCCCCTTGTTCTGTTCTAATGACAGCCTCTTGTCTATGTACGGGTTCCTCATGAGTACAGTGAAGTGTAGCAGAATTTTCATTCTCTGCAGTGTTGACCATAGCTTGTGAAAATCCTTTGCTTATTGAGTATATCACAAGTGAACATCTTTTTGGTATTATTTGCTTTAAGCCAGGATCCATCTGATGTCAGCAATGATATCCGTCATTCCATGTTCTTGTATGACTACGACTTGAAACTCTGGCTGTACCCAGTCATTGTACTGTTGGAGCCATTTAAAAATTATCGTTAGCAACATTTTACTTGTGTGTGATATTAATGATAATGTCCAATGATTTCTGCATTCTTTTGGATCACCTCTCTTTGGAATGAGCATAAAAATGGATCTGTTTTTATTGGTTTGCCAGGTATCTGTCTTCCAGATTTCTTGGCATAGATGAGTTAGTGCATCCAGTGCTGCATCCATTTGTTAAAAGATATCTATATGCATTCCATCAATTTCCAGAGCCTTGTTCTTTGCCAATGTCTTCAGTGCACCTTGGACTTCTTCCTTCAGTACCATTCACTTTTGAGCATATGTTACGTCTTGAAGTGGTTGAGCAACAACCTTTTTTTTGGATACAGTGACTCATCTTATTTTGATGCTTTCTACATCATTCAATACTTTGTCTATGTCAATCTTCAATATTGCAAATGGAGGCTTGGATTTTTGCCTTTAAGCTCTTTCAGCTTGAGAAATGTTGAACATATTCTTCCCTTTTGATTTTCTATATTGCAGTTAATAGTTAACTTTATCTTGAGCTGCATTTTGAAATTTTCTGTTTTACTTCATTGCTTCTATTTGTTTTAGCATCTCTACTCTGGAGAGCAAGTTTGAGAGTTTCTTCTGATATCCATTTTGGTCTATATTTCTTGTCTTCTTAATAACTTGTTGTTTTTTTCCTGTATGCTCTTGATGTCATCCTACAACTTTTCTGGTCTTTGGTCTTTAGTGTCTAATGCCTGAAATCTGTTCTTGAGATTATCTCTAAATTCAGGTGGGATATGTTCAAAGTCATATGTTGGTTCTTGTAGACTTGTTTTCATTTTCTTCAGCTTCAGTCTGAACTTGCATACTAATTGATAGTCTGTTCCACAGTCTGCCCCTGGCCTTGTTTTGACTGATGATATGGAGTTTTTAATTATCTCTTTCCACAGATGTAGTCAATTTGACTTCTCTGTATTCATTGGTGAGGTCCATGTGTATAGTGTATTGTGCATTGTTTTTGCACAATTCTATCATGCAGTCTCTAGTATCGTTTCTATCACTAAGGCCATATTTGCCAATTACTGATGCTTCCGCTTTGGTGTCAACCTTTGCAATGCATCTTGATTGCATGTTTGATCAATTTCAGCCCGAAGTTGGTAGAATTCTTCAATTTCATCATCATTGGCTTTAGTGGTTGGTGTGTAAATTTATAACAGTAAATAATAGTTGCGTTAACTGGTCTTCCTTGTAGGTATATGGATGTTATACTACTACAGATCTTGAAATGTTCGTTTTGATAACGAATGTGGCACAATTCCTGAACCATTTGTCATTCTTGGTATAATAAACTGAACTTGTTAGATTCAAAATGGCTATAATCAGTGAATTTCAGCTCACTAAGGCCTAGTGATCTTTAAGTATTCCATTTCATTTTTGACAACTTCAAAGTTTCCTTGATCCATACTTCATACAGCCTATGTTCTAATTATTAATGGATATTACAGCCTTTTCTCCTTATTTTGACTTGTGCTCTATTAGAAAATGAAGGTCCCAACAACATTGCTCCATTCGTATCATCACAGTCAGCTCTACTTTGAGGAGGCAGCTCTTCCCCAGTCATATTTTGAGTGCCTTCCAACCTGAGGCGCTCATCTTCTAGCACTATATGTGACAGTATTCTGGTACTATTTATAGTTTCAATATTCAATATTCTGATGTTCCATTGCTATTCATAAGGTTTTCAGTAGGTGAACATTCTGAAGTAGCTGGCCTCTTCTTATTCCTAGTCTGAGTTAGTCTGGAAGCTTAGTTGAAATTTATCTACCAAGGGTGACCCTGCTGGTGTTTCAAATTTCAGCATAAATTGGAAACCGCCACCATAGTACAAAAAACTGACAGATGAGTGGTGAAGGAGGCATGAGGAATAACAATTTCTCAAAGAATAAATTATAGGAATTTCTTATATTTACAAAATTTTGAACTTAATATTTTATAAGGTCATTTTGGATCTCAGATATTACATAATT